TTGTAGGAAACAAAAAGATCTTTTTGTAGTAACTGTTCTTTACACGATTAGTTTTTGTTAAGGGTGACAATAGAATAGTGAGAGCACACTTTTTGTATTAATTGTATTTAGACATATTTCAATTTTAGTTACCATTAGCTAAATATTGCGGTACAATTCTAAGCTAGTGGGCGTATGTATCCCTCAGTATATGTATATGGTCATATATGGTCTTAGATATCTTTTGCGTACCCATATTTCTGGTATCGAACAGCACTGTTTGACTTTATTTGATAATACAGGGTGACCCGAAATTCATGCAACAAAATTTAGTCACAGATTCTTAAGACAAATTTAGGGGACCCGTATTTTTTATTTTTGCCAAGTGGCCCCCTCTTTCGGAGTTACAGCCCCCTGAAGTCCGCCCCTAAGAATAATCTTTTTTTTATATCTCAGAACCCTGTTGTACGAGAATCACTAAATTTGGTACACAGGGGTTTTATGACATGTGGAATCTGATGGTGCTACGTTTTTTGGCGGGGAACCCCCTTAAGACAATTTTTCGTGGGCCCTTTTGTCTTTGGAGCCAAAAAAATTTCGTCGCATATTTAAATTTCTTAAAAATTATCTGTCCACTTGAAAGCCATTAAATTTAGAAACTTTTTGTCTCTTTATACTTTTTTCGTAAACGCAATGTTTTCGTGACAAATGTCAAAATGTGATCGAATGTATACAGGGTGTCTCATAATTAGCTGCCAACCCTGAACAGGCCAATCGCGTTGTGATAAATGAATGAAATTTGGTGTACACAGCTAAATTTTGATGAGCAATTTGATGGACTAATCCATTTATTTCCACAAGGTCCATTGGGGTGGGTACGGGGGGCCCTTGGTACTTTGCGTGTGTAACTTTTTCATCTTTGACTTTTTAACAAATTGGACAGCAAATTCCGTTTTCCCGAACTGTTTTACGTTAAAAAGGTACTCTTGTTTCAAATAGTTATCTTTAACGGTTTCTGAGAAAATCGCTCTTGAATTAATCCC